CTGTGCCCAGCTGGAGTTTACCTTTGAAAATACAATTGGCCCTCTTAATCTGCAAGTTCTGTATCCTAGGAATCCATGAACCATGGATGGAAAATATTTTTGGGGAAAAAAAACTGCAGCTGTACTGAGCATGTGTAGATTTTTTTCTTGTAATGATTTCCTAAACCATACTATATAATGACTATTAACACTCTACTTTGCATGAGGTACTCTAAGGAATCTAAAGGTGATTTAAAGTATCTGGGAGGATGTGCATAGATTGTCTGCAAATATAACCTCATTTTATATAAGGGACTTGAGCACCTGTGGGTTTTGGTGTCCTGGCGGGGTGTGCGTGTATTAGAACTAATCCCCCAAGGATAGTATGAAGGAGCAAGTGTATTCCCAGTTATCCTACCAATGCCAGACTAAACTCCCCTGTCCTTGTTAATAGCCACTCTTGTGCATTAACACACTGACTGCACCCTGACTCAGGCATTCTTGACCAGAATGGTCATGAAGACTCAGGATCGCACATCTGAGGTCAGTGACCAGCGCATCTGTGTGACTAGTGAGGTTCTCACTCGCATTAAGCTGGTTAAAATGTACACATGGGAGAGACCATTTGCAGAAACGATTAAAGGTATGTAAAGTTTGTTTTTCTTCCCAGAGACTGGTGATGCCATGGTGCTCCAAGCCCATCACCTCTGAGGAATTCTTTCAAGCTTTGGGGGATGCACTGGTACTTACTTACGATGTATTTATTTTCTTCTTATCTCCCAGACCTAAGAAGGAAGGAAAGGAAACTATTGGAGAAGAGTGGTCTTATCCAGAGCCTGACTACTGCCACCTTGTTCATCACCCCCACAGTGGCCATCACAGCCATGTTTCTTGCTCACACATTCTTGGAATTGAAACTCACAGCTGATGAAGTAAGTGTCTTGGTGCTCTGTCCCCCTCCAAATAATGATGTGGAATTTTCACATGTGTCCTTCTCAGCGCATGACCCTCAAAGATGAAAGTTTTGCAAAGGGATACTCTATGTTGATTTTGTTTTTCCAGATGATTCAAGCTTTCTTCCTTCTCAACCCATCTGAAAAAGTGACATCTCTTGCAGAGCAGCAGTGGGTGGGAGGGACTCTCTAGAAGT